AGTCCCAGACCCAGTGGCTTAAAACTCATGCCAGGCACATGTGCATATGTACCCAAAATCCCGAGAGGAGAATAGATGATAAGAAATGGTGATGTGACCATCTTCCCTGGGGAGTGATTACTCATTTTCTGTCTCTCTCTGTCTGTCTGGTGAGTACATACACCCTATAGCAAAAATGTCTCTTAAAAGAAAGAAAATAAAGAAAGAAATTGGCTCGGTGAGAGGAAGGGAACCAAGGAGAAATATAGTGAGGGAAGACAGTTAAGGGACATGGAAATGGGGGTTGTCTGTCGATGATAAAGCAGATGATAGTATCTGTGACTGGACAGGTATCAGTGTATTCATGCTGGGAAAATCCCTTTTACAAGCTGTGGTGATGTACAGTGATTGAATGTGTAATTTTTTTTTTTTTTTTGAAAGAACGTGGCTAGGTTGCTAAATAAAACTTAACTTTGAATTTATTTTATCGTTGTTGTTGTTGTTGTTCTTGGCTTCTGCAAGATAATCAAGTGTAAACCCCAGAAGAATTTCAGAAGGAAAACCCATGTATTTTTGAAATTTGTGTCTGCAGAAACTGTCCCACATCTGTTGGAACTCACTTTCTCCCTGCTTCTAACCGCACTGCGGCAATCCTCTAAACAAGTGCTCAGATGTTGCCGTGCCCCCTTCCAAAACCCTGCGATGACTTCTTTCCATATTACTCAGCACAAGCAGGAAGCAGGGCTGCACGGCCGGCCCTACCTTCTGTTTGCCCACTTGCCTCTCACCGCCGCACTGGGCTCGCACCTCTTTTTCAAAAAGGCTGACTTCAGTTTTCCTTCAGGACATTTATTCTTCCTGTCTCCCTTTCCATTCATCTATTTGTACCCCTTTTCACTTCTCTACTTTGCTTCAAATTACCCAGTGCTGTCTCAATTACTTTCATTTTTATATTTTTTTATTTCCCTCCACGAATAGGAGCCTATGAGTGCAGGAATTGTGTCTTTTTTTTTTTCCCCCCCCACTAACCTCAGACCTAAAAGAGGACCTGACACAGTCTGTTCTCTATTGAGTGAATAAATGAGATATTACCAACTAACATTAAAGACAGAGCTGTTTAGAATATGCTTACAGGTTTGGTGGGTTTGTATCTAGATTTTCTTACAACATCTTAATGAAAAGAGGTTTAATTCTGCATCTTTTCATCTGGAGACCATAAATATGTTCACTGTGTGTCGTAAATGGGCTTTAACATTCATTTCTGGGAAATACATTCAAATAGATGATATTTACTTAAATATCCAGTAGGGAATGAACAATCTTATTTGTATCATTTATAGTAGGAAGGACATAGATTGAAACAAAGTTGTGTTCACATTTTATCAAGTAGTAGCAATTCCAGAAGAAAGGGCAGGAGAGCCCAAAACTTGTTCCTATTAATTGCAACAATTGCTTCCTCAACATATCTATGTAGCCATGTGTATTCCTTGAAAGACCTTATGTTGCATACCTTTCTCTGCAGTTGAAATGACATTTTTTTTTTTCCTGGCTTTTGTAGTGAAATGTTAGGTGACTTGAATATCCCATTGAAATTGCTGATGAAAATGGTGTCCAGAGCAGCAAGAAGAAACCACCAGTTCATTTTCTAAATTGTAGAGTTGAAAATGTTAATTGGGTGCTTTCTTAAGGGCTCATTTGTCTTTTTCCATTTTCAGAAATTGAAAAGGGAGGATGTGGCGACCCCGGGATCCCTGCCTATGGGAAGCGGACTGGCAACAGTTTTCTCCATGGAGACACACTAACTTTTGAATGCCAGGCGGCTTTCGAGTTGGTGGGGGAGAGAGTGATCACCTGCCAACAGAACAATCAGTGGTCTGGCAACAAGCCCAGCTGCGTGTGTGAGTATTGTGCAGTGACTGGGACCCCATCCTGTTCCGACACTGCCTTGCAAGGGGAGAGAAAGAGAGACACAGTGCACCCATTCAGCAAGGGCAGCTTTGGGAGCAGCGCGAGTGTTCTTCATTCACCTGAAACACAGCAGGGCGTTCTCAGACCCCACCATCCAAATTCTTCCCTGAGTTGAAAGTTATTCATGGTTTTATTAGGGCTACTATGTAAAATGTAGCTGAGCACTTTCTACTAGAAAGGACATATCATGTGCCACTGTTTCTACTGGAAATTTAAGATGCCATACTACTGCCAAAATTGTAGAACACTGGAATCATTTCTTTTTCTTTTAATTGTAATTACCAGAGGGCATATGCACTCTCCAAAGAGAGAAAGAGACACAGGGAGAGACGGGGAGAAACAACCCCCAATGGAGTGCGGTTATACCACAAGCCCTTCTTCTCCCTCTCTCCATCTTGTCAGGATTTGAAGCATACGTGCATGTACCCAATGTATTTTTCAAGCCAACAGGGCTTGGATTCAAACCACAATTGGGTGTGTAGGATCCATTTCCCTATGGACTGCACTTAACCCCTGTGCTTATGGGACTGACCCAATGGTAGAGTGTGTTTATGACTTAATAATGCTGCATAACGTTTTTTTTTTATTTCATTTTTTATACATTTAATTATCTTTTTTAGCTTACAAAGTGAATATTTATCTGTGTGAACATTTTTCCCTAGTCCAGTAGGTTAAACCATAAAATATCTTCAACAGGTAATACTACATTTCTTTGTTCCATTAATGCTTTTCATCCCTTTTTTTCTTCTAAATGTCCTTCCTCCGGCCCAACTCTTCCTCACACACTATATCTGGTATTTACACCCATTTATTGTGTTTGTATATCCTTTAGTCAATCAGTTTCACTCAGTGTGTGGACACTGGGTATATATTAAGTGGGGACATACAATGTCTCTCCTTCATATCCTGGCTTGCCTCACACTACATTTCAACACAAGGCGTTCACCAGTGTGAAAGTGGGTGGTGATATTGCTTTGGAATTTAGATGAAGATCTGCCTGTTTCCTCATGAGTGTAGTACCTTAACAAGCAGAAAACACATCATAGGCAACTTGGAAAGGGGATTTGTTTTATTTGTAAATAAGTATTGCAATGGCTGAAAAGTATATATGAAATTATGTGGAGGAAGCACAGCCGCACCCTAGAGAGTAATCTCTAGTATATATTAATTCCTATATGTGTGTCTGTGTCTGTGTTTACATGTGTGTGTACCATGTGTGTCCATGTGATTTTTAAATATTCTTTCTTAAGAATAAATTTTCCAAGAGTTTAACATTATTTATCTAGAACATGTTCTAATTTCTTTTTTTTTTTTCTGATTAAAGTTCTTTTTTTTTTTTTTTTTTTAAAAGGTGATCATTTTAATATGTGAACATTTCTCCCGGTCGAGTTGATCAAAATATAACAACACTCCCTCCCTGTCTCAACAATGCTGTCTTCGTATCTTTGAGTTGTTTCCTCATTAGTCTTCACCCTGTACCTAAAGAAAATTTTAAATAATGTGAAAAATGCACTTTAAAGAAAAACAAAGTGAAAAGTTACCACAGAAGAGCAGAATGAGTTCACTGTTTCTATGACACAGATAAACCTTTTTAAATTAATAGGTACCCTTCTGAAGGCATAGTTATAACTAGAAAATATGATATGTGATACACATTTTCGATCAACTTTAAGGGATCAGCTTTGAATCATGTCCATGCTTGATTTTGGAGAGGTTCTGGTTGTGCCATATAAGATAATGAAATGTTCTACTTACACTTTGGTGACAGAGGAAATGGTATGTTCCGTATTACCGATATTTAAAAAGTTGACTCAGGAACCAGCAGTTAGCATAATGGCTATGTCTCTGGACTCCCACGTAGTCGACCGCAGTTCGCGTCCCGGACCCGGTGGCTTAAAACTCACGCCGGGTGCGTGTGCGTGCATGCCCAAGATCCCAAGAGGAGAATGGAGGAGAAGGGATTGTGGCATGACCATCCCCCCTGGGGGGTGATTTCTCACTTTCTGTCTCTCTGTCTCTCTCTGTCTGTCTGGCGAGCGCACGCGCCCTATAGCAAAAACCTGTCCCCCCAAAAAGAAGGATTAAAGAGTTGACTTACCCAATCTATTTGAAGTGCGATTTGCCTTTTCAAGTTCTCAGCCATTAAGTGACAATTTCATGCAACTGTTCTTTGTGTATGTGCAAAACTATTTGCAAATACATTTGTGTCTTTACAGTTTCCTGTTTCTTCAACTTTACGGCATCATCTGGGATTATACTCTCACCAAATTATCCAGAGGAATATGGAAACAACATGAACTGTGTGTGGTTAATTATATCTGAGCCAGGAAGTAGAATCCACCTCATTTTTAATGATTTTGACGTGGAGCCTCAGTTTGACTTCCTTGCAGTCAAAGATGATGGGATTTCAGATATAACAGTCCTGGGGACGTTTTCTGGCAATGAAGTGCCTTCCCAGCTGGCCAGCAGCGGGCACATCGTCCGACTAGAGTTTCAGTCTGACCACTCTACCACAGGCAGAGGGTTCAACATCACTTATACCAGTAAGTATGTCTACACCGGTGCCATTCGAGTTCCCGTTTTATTTATGTACATAGGCAGTTGAACATCTAAGTTATCCTTAGAAGTTTCATAATCATTATTGAAATGAGAGAAGTAATATTGCAGAGCATGATTCTGGTAACCTAAAAACATGCATCATTGTGTTTAGGATAGTCCTGTGGTCATCCTTGTAGTAAGGGGCGGGTCTCTCATATCTCTGCTCTCCCTTCTCATTATCCCTCTAATTAACCATCCTTTCATTCATCCACGCACCCTCCCATACATCTTCCATGCAACAAAATAAGGTAGTAAAAATGAATGAGGCATTTGAAGGCAAGTGCCAAGGATTAAAATACGAACACTTGCGGACAAGCAGGTGGTGTGGAGGTTAAGACATTGGACTTTACATGGCTGAATCCACAGCTCAAAATCCAGACCTAGCAGCTTGAAAAATCACATTGGGCATGAGTGCATGCACGTCTCAAATCCTGACAAAGCTGGAGAAGAAGAGATTGGGGTGTGGTCATCCACCTAGGGGCTGATTTCTCTCTCTCTGTCTCTGTCTCTCTCTTTCTGGCAAGTACCTGAGTCCTATAGCAAAACTTAAAAAAATTAAAAAATAAAAAATAAAACTAGTGCTTGGGCTAGCCAGTGGTGTGGAGCTTAGGGTTACTGGATCCCACAAAACCAACCTTGAAGTTGGAGTCCAGATCCAGGAGATTGAAAAACATGCCAGACTTGTGTGTACACATACCCCAAATGGGTAAGAAAGGGGGTGCTGTCCCCCATGTGGGGGCTTTCTTACTTTCCCTCTCTCTTTTTCCAGTAAGTGCATGCATCATATGGCCAATTTTGAAAATAAACTAAAATGAAATACAATAACACAGAGCAAAAACTAGCCCTTATGTATACCTCATGCAATTTAATGACTGCTAACTTCTCTACTTCTGCTTATTCATTTATGAACTACATTTTATGCAAAAAATCTCCTTAGATGCCTTGTAGAAGGAACATAGTGAGACAATAATATAAATGATATTAAATTATCAGGTACTGTACTTAGAATTTGTCAGTAATGATTTCAATTACTGTTATAGTAACTGGGATATCAGTTTGCTAGTCCTCATTCTGTAAGTAAATGTAGCTGGGCTTAGATTATCAAAGTAGTGGCCTAATATCAGATAATAAGCACAACATCAGGATGATTTCTTTTTTACATTTTTTTATTTCATTTTCTTTTATACATTCAATCACATTATTGAGCTTAGAAAGTGAATCTTTCAACAGGTGAATCTCTCTCCCTAGTATAGTTGATAAAACTATCAAATATCTTCAACAGATAATACCACATTTCTCTGTGCCATTAATGCTTTGCCTCTCTCTCTCTCTTTTTTTTTTTTTTTCTGAATGTCCTTTCTCAGACCCTCCTCTTTCACACACACTATATCTGGTATTCACATCCATTTACTGTGTTTCTATATCCTTTAGTCGATCAGTTTCAGCCATAGAGTACAAAGTCAGGATTCTAACCCAGCTAGTTCCTGAACCTGAAAGCTTTCCTTTCCCTTTTCCTAAGTGCATCTAAGAAGTGCTTTTCAAACTGTAAAATGCTGTATAGATGACAGTTATAACTATCAACTCTCTGGATACTGGTATTCTATTTACTTAGTCTTTATCTATGAATAACCAACGTTGGAGACAATAATTGCTTTATATATAATTTATATTCTTTTTAAACACATGTCATTGGTAGTCAAGTAGTTTTATTCTAATTCTAATTCTGTCTTGGCCTTTCCAGCATTTGGTCAAAACGAGTGCCACGACCCTGGCATTCCTATAAATGGACGGCGTTTTGGTGACAGGTTCCTACTGGGCAGCTCGGTTTCTTTCCACTGTGACGATGGCTTTGTCAAAACGCAGGGGTCTGAGTCCATCACCTGTATCCTGCAGGATGGGAACGTGGTCTGGAGCTCCACCGTCCCGCGCTGTGAAGGTACAGTCCCATCACCTGCTGGCTACTCGCCTTTGAAATCCTGAATTTATCTTCAAACTATTTTTTTCTTTTTTTTAACAATGTCTGTTTGCCAGGGATACCTCCACAAGGCACAAAGTGACTTACACAACAGAAATGTATTGTCTTCTATTTCTGGAAACTGAAAGTTTGAGATCAAATGTCAGAAGGGCCTGTCCTTTCTGAGGCTGTGGGGAAGAATCCCTCTTCTGGCTCCTGGAGCTTGCTGGCAATCTGTGGCATTCCTTGGCTTGTAGAGGCAGCACTCTGAGCTCTGCCTTTGAAGTCACATGACATTCTCCCTATGTGTGTTGGTCTCTGTGTTCTAGCTTCTCCCCCTTTTAAGTTTTATTCTATAATTTCTTGTTTACATTTAATTGCTGTATACCTTTGTGGGTACAACATGGTTCCCCAAAACATGCATGCAGTGCGTGATAATCAAATCGAGGGCTTGCCACATTCCTCATCTTCAGCCGAGAACATTACATCATGTTTTACACTTTCGATTTTCATTCTATTACTTAGTTTTTCCTGGAGATACATCCATATTTGATTGTTAACACCCTTACTTATTTTTTATTTACATTTAATCATTGTTCACCTTTTCAGTGTACAACATGGTTTTTTCCCAGGATGAATACAGTGCATATTAGGCAAGTCAAATAACTTACCATATGTTATCATCAGCAGATATTTTCATTTTTCTGTCTATTAATGTCAACATCTTTTAAAAACTCTGTTGTGGTATGCTATTCCATAACCTACTTGCCTTATTTTTGGGTGTTCTTGTGTCTGCTAAATATTTCTTAAGCCCCATCCCCCACCCCAGTGCAGTCTCTGGTATCTACAGAAATCCTCTCATTCTCTGCCTTTACATCTTCCATTTCTGCCATAAAGTGGAGAAAACAAATACCTCCACTCCATGTTACACACCTTTGCAAGCCATTCTTTCATGTGTATTTTTTTTAATTATGGATTATTACGTGTTATGCAACACTTCAAAAGAATCAGTTCAGTCTAATTCCATGCTTTCAAACTTGCCTGAAAGCTTATTTTGGTTTCTAACATTCATCAACAATTTAGTATGTTGTGTGTAACAGATGATTTCAATAAAATGAATATAATTCAAAGTAAATAAACCTACACAAGCACACATACCTAAGAGTATTTCAAGTTTATATGTGAGGTCATTTTTATATTTTTGCATTTTGTTTTTTTTGTTTGTATTTGTTTTATATTTCATAAATGTAATTAATGGCTGTGCATCTGTACAGCATACAAAGTGGTTTTATTTTTTTTTCCCAGCATGGATGCAGTACATATCAAGCAAGTCAGAATATTTGTTCCTTAATAGACACTGGTTGAACTCCAAATGCATGTCAAATATGTTTAACAATGCTATGTACTTTATGTGTTTGTTGTGAAAACAAAATGAGATAATGCAGGTAAGTCAATTGGTTCAGATAATTCACTTGCCATTCTTAGAGGAAAAGGACATTTCTTCTAGTTGATGATAAATGCCCAGACGTAGAATATATGGGCCCTGCTTTCAATCAACTTATAATTTACTTGGGACTAAGTTTTGCTTTAGAACTCAAAAATATGAAATCCATGAACATAGTCACTTGTTCTTGGTCTGTTGAGGTATTATAAGGGCTATCTTCCTACATTTAATGTGACCTGATAGATACTGTGTGTTTTTCCTTAGCTCCGTGTGGTGGACATCTGACAGCTTCAAGTGGGGTCATTTTGCCCCCAGGATGGCCAGGATATTATAAAGATTCTTTAAATTGTGAGTGGATAATTGAAGCAAAGCCAGGACATTCTATCAAAATAACTTTTGATAGGTAAGAAAAAAAAAAAAACTTTTTCCCCTTTCCTTTGGATCTAAGAATGCATGTCTGACCATGTTTTTAGTAAATGGATCTAAAAACTTAGAAAGGTGATCATTCTTCACTGGTTTTCTCAAAGGAGCTCACTCAACAAGACATAGACACTTATTTAATGAGTTGAATTCTTCTTGAATGATATCATCTGAGCCTACAGGTCACAGTTCTGCAGGCTGGTAGGGCACTGATGGTCCTAGAAGACCACTCCCTTGGTCTGATCCTTTGGTCTGACTCTGGAGTTTGAACCTCCATGGATAAATTGTGCTTGGAGTTAACACGTGGAAGCAGATCCAGGTCTCTTTCGTAGCAGTACAGAAAATGCCTGTCCCATTCTCTGATGGATAAAATAAAGTTGCATTGTTGGTGATGAGGTGGTTTCAACAGATTAATTATGTACTAACTACCTATGAGCAATTGTCTGGTTTACCTATTAAAAAATGTATTGATAATTTAAAAATGTAAGCAAGCTAGTTGAGTTCCGAATGGTATGTTTTCCCAGTTGTTTCATCCTTAAAATCAATTTGATGATTAGAAATGAAAAGTGTTTTGAAATAAACCATATGTTTTAAAGGAAGAGATCATCTTTGTTTAATGTTTCTAGCTTTATTTCTAAACAACATTGGGCTTTCACTAACAATGAACTTCTTGGCTAGATTGTGTTCTATGTTTTAGTGTTCATAATATTATACTATCTCAAGATAGATAAATATCTTGTATTATTTTCTTTTTACTTTCCAGTCATTTTTTAATAGTCAGTAATAATAGTAGTACAGAAGAAGTTTTTCTTGAAAGTGGTATTATATTTAATGATTACTTTCACATTATTTACATGATTCCTGTTCTCTGTTGGATAATGATAACATCCAATAGGATAATCCTCAGGAGAAAGGAAAACATTTTCATTTGTAAATCTGCTATATTAGAGAGTTCCTGCAAATAATATTAATAATTTTAAAAGATTAACTCTAGGTAATCAGTAAATTAAATTTGGCTCTATGTACATTTTTGAACTTTCTGGTACTGAGGGGAGAAAAAGCTGAAGTAGCTCTAATTCTCAGCACCATATCAAATTTAAATCATTTAATTAAAATTGTCACTGTACATTCTCATTGGCACAATTTATTCATACTCTATTCTCAGTTGCCTGAAGAAAGATACATGTTTAAATTATTTCCAATCATGTTGTTTCACTATTATTTCAATGTGACGTTTTGCTAAATGTCATTTGTAAGTACCTAATAATCCTGATATTTCCAAACATCTCTGCTCTTTACCCTCAATATAGTACACAACTCTTAAGAGATTAATTGCACAATACAGTATTGTGTGTGTGTGTGTGTGTGTGTGTGTGTGTGTATCTGTTTAAGGCTTACCCAGACTTATTATTATTTATACAATCACTATACATAATTTATATTGTAAAAATATTTTACCCAATATGATATGCACCACACACCAGGTGAATTGAGACTATTATACACGATATCATCAACAGGCAACAAATCCTATCTGTGTTCCACAAATCTCTTACTTCTCCATTTTTTCCCAAATTTCGCTTCCTGTGCTCTTCCCCTCTCCCGCTCTCCTTAGTTTACACCTTGATCCGTGGTCCAACACCCTAATAAAGGATGTGTCTGCGCTACAAATTTTAAATTAGTTTTCACCTGGATACATGGATCAAAATGTTCTTTTATCTTACTATGTGAACCTGGGCCCACACAATTGAAGCTCATGCTTGGATTCATGCTTGCAATATGAGCCCTCAAACAAATAAAATTAACTATCGGAGTGTGAAAATAATAATAATAAATTCTACACTAGTAATGTTATCCTCAATATGGCTTGGGTTGCCAACTAATAAAGAGCGTTCTGATTTTTTGGTTTCTGAGGCTGTCCAGGAAATCTTCTAGCTGTTGAGATGTGCATTTCGTCCGTCCTGGATGTTACTAAAGAAAGAGGATATGAAAACTTTTTTGCATATATATCTAATGAGATTTAGCTCATGCTTATCCAGACTTCTTGAATTTGAACTCGGATAACTGACAAATGATAGGGACTTAAAAGAATGTTTTAGAACAATAAAGGCAAAGCCTACACTCCCCAGGTCCTCCTGCACTGCCTGTGGCCCTATGTTGCTGCAGCCAGGAGACACACAGCTTGTTTGAATTCTTTAGGAAAGACCAGGTGTTAGGACTCAGTTAGTGGTAAGAGTATCTGCTGTGCATTTGTACGGAGAGAAGTATCCATTTCCATTGTTACACTCCACTAACAGAAGTAGCTCCCTCTCTCCCTAGTTGGCCTTGTGCGTCATCAGCAATACCTAGCGCTGCGTGGGGCCTTGTGGAACAGGCTTCAGAGTTACTGAGTGAGTCACAGGCTTACGGTCCCTAAGCGTGAAGTCAGACACTTGGAAACAGGGTTAGCTCTTAGAGGACGAGAGGAGCCCATTTAGAAAATGATCTCGGTGTCTGGAATGGAACCTTCATTGCATCGAAGGGCACCCCAGTGGCTGAAACTTTATAGAAACGTAATCTCAAGTCAGATTCTCTGGAAGCATAAGAAAAGTTAAGCACTTTTTGGAAGCTCTTCTAACTTTTTTGAATCATTAAAAGTATTTGCTTCCTCTAGTGAAGAGATACTCAGTGTTGGCCTAGGGTCTCGAGAGAGTTAATGCAGATTAAAAAAGCCCAGGATTACTTTTTTCATAAAAAAGGTTTAAATTATTGTCATATATTTTGACTTACCTTCTTCCTTTAAGAGATCAGGAGGGGGACCAGCAGATGGCATAATGATTACATCGCTGGACTCCATATGGTCAGCTGCAGTTCAAGTCCCAGACCTGGCAGCTTAAAACTCATGCTGGGTGCATGCGCATGTCCACAATTCCAAGAGGAGAATAGAAGAGGAAGGATTGCAGTGTGATTTCTCACTTTCTGTCTCTTTCTCTCTCACTTTCTGGAGAGCACATGTGCCCTATAGCAAAGATCTCTCAAAAAGTAAATAAATAAATAAATAATAAATAAGTAAAGAGATCAAAAGGAAGGAAATAAAAGCAGATAAAAAAGAAAAGTAAATAATTAAACAGATGCAAAAGTACAAAATTATGTGTTAAGGATGATGTGTATGCTAGTATCTTTGTACTAACACTCAGTGTATTCATGCTGTGAAGATTCATTTTATATGCCATGAAAATGTACAGTGATAAAGTGTAAATAAAACAAGAAAATAAAAAGAGATCATCTCACTCTGGTATATTCATTTTAAGATGTCCGAAATCATGTTAAACAGAGGGTCATGAAAAATACTTTGAAATGCATAGTCACTGATTTTCACTCATTGAGAAGTTGGATAATTGAGGATTATCTATCCATCTATCTACTTATTTATAAAAAACTATATTTTAAAGCTAAATATCAATCTCCTTTTTTTTTCTGTCATAGTACAAAATGTAGTGTTAGGTAAGGGAGGTGATTTAGGCTATACTGTTTCTTCTAGAAAAGAGTACTAGTCTTCCATTCTATTTGTCCCCAAGTTTTCCAAAGTATACGTAACTTGAAATGTTTCATTCAAATTTTCATTGGAATAAATTTAAATATTTCAAAATATAAATATTTTCTTCATATTGAGGTCTATGGGGTTTCCATTCATGGACGATGAGGTGATACGCTTGTCTGTAAGCTGGTGAAGCTCTGGTGTCTTTTCTGACTTGATACACACATTTGCAGATTTCAGACAGAAGTCAATTATGATACTCTGGAAGTCAGAGACGGGCCAACCAGTTCGTCCCCACTGATCGGAGAGTACCATGGCACGCAAGCCCCTCAGTTTCTCATCAGCACAGGGAACTTCATGTACCTGCTCTTCACCACAGACAACAGCCGTTCCAGCGTGGGTTTCCTTATCCACTATGAGAGTAAGTGAGCGACTTCCTGTGCCATCCTGGCCCTGCCACACACATGGGTGACTTAAAGATCCATGTACATGTTTTTTTTTTTTTTTTGAGAGGTTTTTGCTAAAGGGCGCGTGTGCTCGCCAGAAAGACAGAGAGAGACAGAGAGACAGAAAGCGAGAAATCACCCCCCAAGGGGGGATGGCCACACCACAATCCCTTCTCCTCTATTCTCCTCTCGGGATCTTGGGCATGCACGCACACACGCCCGGTGTGAGTTTAAGCCACCAGGTCCGGAACTCAAACTGCGGTCGACTATGTGGGAGTCCAGCAGCATAGCCATTATGCTAACTGCTGGTCCTAAGATTCATGGGCTTGTTTATTAGCACCCAGAAAACCATGCTAATTTATTGATCTTATCTGCCTCTCTCAAACCACACTCTTCAGTTTTAAGAACTTCTTTCTTAATTAAGGATGCATCTTGGGATTTCTTTTTTTCCTTTAAATGCTCAAACATACATATCCATTGTCTATTAAAGAATAAAAATTAGAACAATGAAATGTTTTCATCTACAGCAAGTATTTCTATTAATATTTAGAAACACATGTATACATATGAGCCAGAAGCATTATGGGATGTATCGCTACAGCTGTATGTTCTGAGCAATGTCTAGAAAGACAGGATGAGGACAGTTTGAAATCCTTAACCTGTTAGAAAATAAAAACAAATTTCGTTCACTAGAGCACTAAGAGAAGAGAAAGAATGAATACTTGTTAATATTTAAACAATTGTTAACCCTAGTTTTCAATAACTGTCACATTTATTTTTAAACAATTGTTAAAATATTATAATGAAATATATGTTGCAAGATAGCCCAAATTTTCAGTGCGCTTTTCCGTTTTTTTTTCCTCATGTCAAAATCAGGTTCGTTTTTATTTCCTCAGGTTTAAGTTTTAGCTTCTGAAATAATGAGATCAAATCTTTATGCAAGTTTAGAGTAATATTTATGCAAGTTTTCTTCTGGAATCTGAGGGATTCCCTTTGGGAATACAGTTTAAAGTCAGTCAATGAAAACAGAAAACAGCTGTTATTCTCTCTGTTTGAAACACTTCACTTAAAGAGCAGCATGAGGGAGAAGCAGATGCAGCCAATAGTGTAATGGTTATGTCACTGGACTCTGTAGTCAACAGCGGTTCGAGTCCTGGACTCAGTGGCTTAAAATTCATGCTGGGCACGTGTGTGTGTGTGTGTTTCCAAAATCCTGAGAAGTGATTGGAGGAAAAGGGATTGTGGCATGCCTATCCCCTCTGGGGGTTATTTCTCTCTTTTTGTCTCTGTCTCTCTGGTGAGCACATGTACCCTATAGCAAAAAAAATCTTAAAAAAAAAAAAAAGGCACAATGAAAGAAGGGAGAATGAGCACAGGTTACCATGTCTCCTGAAGAAACCTTTAATGTGCAGGACATTTATTGATGCTCTTTTATAGAACCTTACCCTAAAATTTAAAAAATGTGTTTTAATGTAATTTTTAAAATATAGTTGTGCATATATACACACATGTAATTTTACAGATGCATGAATAGGATCATATCTAGCATGCTTTTTTAGAATTATTTACTTTTTAAACTTTTTAGTACTATGATTTTTAATTTTCTCTAGGGCATGTGCACTCTCTAGAAAGAGAAAGAGAGAGAGAGTGAGAAAGCAAGCCATCAGGTCTAGGACTCGAACCACAGTCAACCATGTAAGAGTCTAGTGCCTTAACCACCACACTACCTGCTAACCCACATGTGGTATTTTAAAACTTTTGTTTTTCCTCCCTTCCCTTTGTTACATCACCTATACTCATGAACCTCTGCCTAAACTATTATTCAGCAAACTCAAATTAATAACCTGCTATGACTAGTTCTCTGTTTCACATGCCCATATAATTATATATCAATGTACATATGCATGTATACCTGATAGACATGCAGTTTTTGATCTAAAAAATGATTATTATATTCACTTTCTAATACCAAGAACATTAATCATAATTGACTTAAAGATTAATTTCAAACTTACTAGGTATACTCTCTATCTGTATATATGAAACATTTATTTTAACATAAGTTTTAGAGTTAAAGTAAAATTTAAGAACAAAATACTGTATTTAATTTCTTTTTACTATCCCCTTATCACTTTTCTTTGGATCAATGGTACATACACATTGCAACTGCATGAACTGTAAAACACCTAAGCTTTGCATGGCTAAGTATTTCATTCTCTCTACAGCACCCAGCACTTTCATTGAGACCAAAATTACTTGGCCCTTAAAAATAATGCATGAAACTTAAAAGAATGACCATTTTCAGACATTAACAAATATTGAACAGAGTTTTCTTTCTTTTCTTCCCAATATGTATATAGCCATAGATTATTTTGCTTCTTTCCTGTTTGAGGAAACGTGGTTTTGTTTTTTTCTTTTTTTTTTTTTTTTTTGAGAAAGATTTTCGCTATAGGGCGCGTGCACTCACCAGACAGACAGAGAGAGACATAGAGACAAAAAGCGAGAAATCACCCCGCAGGGGGGATGGTCACGCCGCAATCCCTTCTCCTCCATTCTCCTCTCGGGATCTTGGGCATGCACGCACACGCGCCCAGCGTGAGTTTTAAGCCACGGGGTCCGGGACATGAACCGCGGTCAACTACATGGGAGTCCAGCGACATAGCTATTACGCTAACTGCTAGTTCCCAGGAAATGTGTTCTTAGGCTAAGGCAGGAAGCAGACACTAGTTTGTTATCTATTATATTTACATAAATGGGTTGTCTTTATTCACTCTTTATGGAAAATCAATGATAGAAAGTCTGTGCACATGTTTCTATTTAGCTTGTCATACACACTAATATAGTATTATAATAATTTATTATGCAGATAATTCTAGGAATAATCTTTATAACCTTTAAAGAATTATTGGGAACCAGCAGTTAGCGTAATGGCTATGTCGCTGGACTCCCACGTAGTCGACCGCGGTTCGTGTCCTGGACCCGGTGGCTTGAAACTCACGCCGGGCACGTGTGCGTGCGTGCCCAAGATCCCGAGAGGAGAATGGAGGAGAAGGGATTGCGGCGTGACCATCTCCTCTGGGGGGTGATTTCTCACTTTCTGTCTCTCTGTCTCTCTCTGTCTCTCTGGCGAGCGCACGCACCTTATAGCGAAAACCTCTCAAAAAAAAAAAAAAAGAATTACTAAGTTATGTTTTGATCTTTTTATTTATCTGATTAAAAGTAGAGCACAGTCTTCATAAAGATAGTTCCATAACTTGGAGTGACCTCTCACAGAACAATGTCCTTTTACAGTTTTCTTTCTTTGCATCACTAAAAATAAATAAATAAATAAATAAAGTCAAATAAAATCATTCTTAAGAAAAGAAAAATGCTATTACCAAGATGGTGTATCTGTAGTAGAGTGATAACTGTGTGCATTTTAATCTCTGTTATAAATTTTAATCTCTTGTGCTCCCTAGAATTCCTTCTTTCTACTTTATTTGAAAACTAGGGAGGTAACTCTCTCACCAATAACGAGGCCAGAGATATCACCTGTCTCACTCAGGTATTAAACTTTCTAGTGCTCTGTTTTATAAGGAAATTGATCTAAATATGCATCCAGACTTTTGTTCTATAAACTTATGTTGATCCTTTCAGGAAGCAGCAAACATGAATTTTTCTCTCTATTTCTTGTGTTAAAGCGTTAACACTGCATTGGAAAAGAGGATCTCAGAAGGATGTCACAGTGAACCTTGACCTGTTATCACCTCTGTTTATGTCAAGAGAATTAAGGAAATGAACAAAAGTAAATGAGACACAGGCTATTGTGTTTTATAAGAAAATGAGTCAGGAGAGGTGTGGGATTGCTGAAAATGGTTATCAGCTAGTGTCCCTAATGGTTACCTGCGGGGCTTTAAAACAAAACAGCTGCTCCAGTGCCAGCTCAGATGTTCCCGGTTGTTATTTCTGTGGGTGGTGCTGAAAACTAACTACTTTCAGGAGCTCCGTGACCGATGTGGATGGTCATCCCTATTTAAAGGCATGCTGAAGAAGCTGTTTTTCTCAGACTTTATTGGTCACTGATACTCCCCTGGGGATCCTAGTACACTATGGAGTCCTCGGCCCAAAATCTGGACTTTGTGACCCAGTCAGCCAGCAAGGAAGCCAGGATTCTGGATTTTCAATCAGGTTTCCAAAATGAGTCTGGATGAGGTGGAGTCAAGGCTGTTGACGGCTGTGTGCCCAGGCCATGGCGCACGCAGGTCTGAGGCAGACATGGATTCCAGGGGTAGAAAAATCTGTCAGCCGTGCCAGAAAAGTAGCCAGAGGAAGCAGAGGAAAGAGAGGAGGAGAGCAAAAAGGAAGGAAAGCATACAAGCCTAGAAAAGGACATTGTAAACAAGCCGGCTCTGTGGGACCCAAGCCCCACATGGCCAACCACCATTGGAATCCTGGCCCTGGCATCTTGAAAATTAGCCTGTGTGGGTACACACCCAAAATGTCAGCAGGATGGAGAAAAGGAGGAGAAGGAATGGTGCCGGGAGCCATATCCCAGCCAGGGTGGGTGCACAGGAAAGCGACGCGAGTGAACAGGAATTAGACTAAGACCTTATGCCCTTTAACATGTTCTTAGCCAGCTACAGCCAGAGTAAACTCCGGACTGCAGCCCTGATGGCCAGGAGTCATGCATATTTATTATGGAAGGAGTTTTACAGCAGTGGGATGGGTGAGGGGAAGTAAGTGAAACATTTTGCTCTAAAAGGTAAGGCATTCAAAGTATAGGAACAATAATCATAAAACATGATGTCTGTTTTGTTTAGGTATAAACAGTCATAATTTTTAAAACGAGGAAGTCCATTTTTTGGGTGCATCTTCTTTTTTGATCTTGATTACCAGGGAGGGTCTTTGGATGAGAGGGCTCCCAGGAATCTTGATCACTTTAGTCCCAGATTGGCTTGAGAATTTGAGTCTCTCGGGTCAGCTTTTGAGAACTTCAGCTTCAGACTAGGGTGGTAGCAATTACAGGAGCCTAGAAATAAATCCTGTCTGGTTTAGTAAAGACAAGGTTAGTATATACTAAAGTGAAATACTTATG